GAAAACAGAAGCACACCGGGCAGGGCAGGATGAGGCATCTCATTTCTCAGCCCTGCTTCCTACCACCGGATGTGAGGCGCATGAGGGGAGGCAGGCCGGGGGAGGCAGGCCCCTGCTGCCAGGGCCTGGCACTGGCGCTGTGCAGCCCCTTGGGGGGCGGGCAGGGGCGGCCTTGCAGCGCCCCAAGCTCCTCCAGGCCCTGCCCGCAGCACTGGTGCCGTGCCCGGCTGCTGAGATGCCAAGGGGCACCTCGCCGCTTGGGTCCCGGCCGAGCCCAGAGGTGGCTCACGGGCACGGGTCGGGTTCTCCAGTTATCTTTTCTCTGGAGAGCAGCAGGGTGCACCCTGAGCACGGCTCTGTGCTCTGTCACAAGAACACCTGCAGCCCCAAGCTGAGGATGATGCAGGTGTGGAGCCCTATGGAGCCTGATGGCCTGAGTAGCCCCACCTGGCCCCGCAGCTGCCCGGGGCCACGAGCACATTTAAGCCCAACTCTGTGCCCACAGCCTGTTTAAGCTGTGTGCTGTATGGTGCTGGTGTTCTGCTGTGGACCATGTTGTTCCAGATTCTGGCCTGTAGGCTGGTGGCTTGGCCTCGTTCCTGCCTCATCCCCATGGAGCTGACCAGCAGCAGGACCTGAGCCTGACTGTAGGTTGGTTTCCCAGCCTGAACTCCGGCCTCGTGCCATGGATGTGTGTGATGGGCTGGTGGCTGAGCTTGGCTGCATCCCACTCAGGTGCTGTGAGGGCTCCTGGCCGGGCTCTGCCCTCAGTGCAGCTCCTGTGCCTCTGTGCGCATGTCTGCGGTGCTTGTGCTGCTGCTGCTGGGAGCTCTGCCCCTGCACCGAGGGCAGCTCCTCATCCTGCAGAGGCTCTAGCTAGTGCTGCCCTGGGCTTCCAGGCTAGCACAGCACTGGTGAAACCATTCATCCCTCCCTTGTAGGCAGTGTGGCACCCACAGGATGAACAGAACAGCCAAGAAACAAAATATGAGATGAGCTGATGCAGTAACTCCCTGATTACCCAAAAGATGGAGGACTAGTGTCCTACAATCTGACCTTCAATAGAAAAAGAAAAAATTCTGTGAGTAGACCTTTCTGACTCAGCTGAGACTTTTTTCTTTTTTTTTTTTAATGAAATCCTGCTCTTGAAGTATTTGCACTGAAAAAAATATAGCACTTTCCATATAAAAGCTGTGCTTGGCACAAGGCTCTTCTCAGATAGAAAGGAACTGGAGGAGCCCTTCTCTTTCTCATGCCAGCTCATTATTGTGCTGTTGGAGCACATTATAAACACTGGAAGGAAAGTGTGTTTTCACAATGTGTTGAACCTCGCTTTGGTTAACAAGAAATTGCTCCCAGCAGCAGAGGAGGTGTCCTGCCTCAGAAGTGTTGGCTCTGTGCAGATGTGCTTTGAGGGAATCACGTTCATGTAATTGTGGAACAAAGACCTTAAAACTTATGTAGGAATAAACTCAAAGCTAGAAGGAAATAAAATAGGATGCCAAATCATGTATTCAAAGAATAGTTTCTCGTTAGTAATGCTGGAGGATCTGTAGCTTCTACTATCACATGATACCCAACCTCTTGTTCAGCAATGCAGAACTGTTTGAGGGAACTGATGTGCTTCATTTTGGATTCATCTCCCCCCTTGTAAGGATTGTTCAGTGTGTTTTCCTAGAGGAATCCTACAGATTGTTTCAAGTATTGGTATAGATAGAAGGATATTAAAGCAGGTGCTGAATATGCAGCCGTTTCCCTGCTGTCACTTCAGTGTCTGTGTGGTGGATTGTGCAGGCAATTGTGTCATGGGGATGCTCAGAAACACTCAGTGGGGCCAGGACCATGGTGAGGGGCTTAGGTCTTTTGTTTGGTTCCCTGTTTCTGAGCTCATGCCCCCATCTCTGGTTCTGAGCCTCAGCTGTGTAATCTGGCCAAGGCCTGCCCACAGCTGAGGGTGCGGCGAGCCCTTGGGGAGGTGACCTTGTGCCTGGGGACTGCCTGAGCAGGGCTGGGGAGGCTCTTGCTGTTCCTGCTGGCTGTTCAGTAAGGATATCTTCCAATTTTTCTGCTCTCCCAGTGGTACTGTAATTGTCCAGTTATGACCAACTTTGGCATCGTTATGCACGCTGAATGCTGTCAGACGGATGAGAAGCTCGCTGGGGTGCTAATATGCACAAGCTGCAGTAGCCAAGGAGCCAAGCAGCAGCAGCTAATGCTGCCAGCTGGCCTGGGAATTGTGATGATGGGAGCCAATGCCCTCTGAAAGGAGGGGATGGAGCCTTTGGTGGCACCTGGTACTGCTGTGCTCCTGCTCACCTCACAGTGGCAAGGAGCAAGGCTGGTGGGTGGACTGGAGTTGGAACTAAGGGTATAAGTTCTTTGGCTGCAGCTTTGTAACCAATGCGTTAATTATTTGTTTAGGAAGAATGAAGGGTGCTGGCTGTGGCTCTGCTTTGATAAGTTTAAAGATCAGAACCATGCTTTTGAGGTTCTGTATGGCTAAATGAAGGGGCTGCTCTTAGAAAGTCTTGCAAAATTAGCTGAACTGTGTCCCGACTTACTGTCACTGCCTGCTAAATGTTCACCTATTAAATTATTCACCAGCATTCCTTTATGCAAACACCAGGTCATCTGAATGCTGTTGTCTGCCAGCATGTACCTGGGACAGCAGTTCTGCATCCACAATAACCACTAACCATGGCTTTTCCCTGCACACATCCCCATGGAGGACTAATTACTGCACTGAGCAGCATGTGCTGAGTCCAGCTCCCTCCTGTCCCCTCCAGTGGCCATAGGGACACCCCAGGCCAGCCTCGAGCCTGCACTGGTGGGCCCTGAGCAGTGAACGGCTGCTGCAGTGACCTGCTCCTGCTTAAAGGAGAGGGCAACTCGTGCCTGAGGCTTTACTCCTGCTTCAAGGAAGCCCTGGCAATTCCTGCCCTGAGCCAAAAAGCAAGGTATTTCATCAGAGAAGGTTTGCAAAGAAAACATTATTTCCCCAAATGTGTTCATCATTCAAAATCATTCAAGCAAAAGTCTCCATCTTACTGTAGCTATTATTCATAATCTGAAAACCTGTGTGTGTGGCAGTCCTTGGTAATTAAGCTGCATAGAAGTGTTTTTTTTCCCTGATGTTTGGGTGGAAGAGCAGCTTCAACTCAGTCCCAGGGTGTCTCTGCAGAACAAATGGGGCTGGTCCTGGCTGTGGGGGCTGGAGAGCCCGGTTTCAGTGCTGAGCCATTAAAACAGCAGCACAAACTGCTCGCTGTGCCACCCAGGGCTGCTTTGGCCTGGAAGGAGCTGATGGAGGTCCCTTTTCCTGAACCTCCTTTGGATGAGGAGTGCCTTGAGCCTGTTTCACAAGGGCAAGGCTAAACAGTTGCCCTGGCTGTGGCTGTCACTTGGTGCTCTGTAAATCATGATTTTGTTGTATGTGGGTGTACCTTAGTTCCTAACTGATGTGGGCTATAATGCAGTGTCAGGGCTTGTATTTGGAAACACAGCACCAGTGATATTTAGTAGTGAGTAGATGATAAGAAAGCATGCAAGTTTGAAAAACAGTACATTTTCCTGATAAACTGTGTTGCAAAGTGGATCACAAACAATGGTTCAGAGCAATTAGCTATAAAGGATATTTTTAATAATGTTCCAGGCATTACTCTCATGTGTTGTTCCAGGTAGTGAGTGTACTTGCAAACAACTTTGTAAATGTGCACGGGGTGGGACTGGAGGGAGTCAGCTGGCAGGGGGGGAGCTGCCTCCCCTGTGGGGTCCTGGACATGTGCTTGTGGGTGCCGGTGGGATGCTGCCTGTGCCTCCCCTGCCCCATGGCCGGCTCACCCCAGGGTGTCTGGCAGCCTGTTACAGGGGGCAGCAGCCTGCAGCTCTGCTCTGCGCAGCTGGTCCCTGCCCCAAACCCAACAGGTCCCAGACCTTGACCTGGGGCAAGAGCACAGGGGCTGGCCCAGCCCATGGCCAAGCACCCTCATGTGGGGTGGGGTGGGGTGGGGGAGCCCCCGATGCCCTGGTGACTGGCTGCCCTCGCTTGGGCTGTCTTACTGCCATATGCAGAAACTCAGGCTGTCCCTGTGGGGCTGCCATTGAGTAACTGACCCTGTGGCCTTTCCTTTAATTCAGTGAACTATTTAAGCATGTGCTTAAAATTGAACATCTGTTTTAGTGCTTTGCTGACCTGGGGCTAAGTGAGGAACTGATAACACTAAATAGTGTTTTTTTTTTCTTCTGTATTTTCCTTCTGTATTGAGGCTCCTGCATGAGCTGCGGTGTTGCCTTGGGAGCTGCAAAACCAGCACGAGTGAAGGAGGGGAGTGAGCTGCCCGCTGCTGTTCTGAGCAGACATCCAGCCCCCAGCAGGGCCTGGCACGGGGGCTGTGGGACTTGTGCCTCCAAGCAGCTCTGTCACCAGGTAGGACAGGAGCCAGACCTGAGGGACAGGTAAGGACACCTCACATCGGTGAGCAGAGCTGTCAGTTCTCCATGCATCACCTCTGCGCTGATGTCCTGGCCTGAGGAGCCCTTCCTGGTGTGCTCATGTCCATAGTACGCAGGTATCATAGTGCACAGTTACTGCTTGTGTCCTTGGCCCTTGGCTTGTTCATGGCTCCTTTGGTACTGCTCTAAGAAGGTTAATGCTCATCATTGGAAGCAATCACTGGCTGAAGTGGCATGTTCACATGCCTTTTGCACTTATTGATGCTTTCTGTTGGCTGCGTGGGGCCCTGAGGTGCTGCCTGCTTGCTGCAGCAGCATTCAGCACTGCTACAAGAAGCTTTCTGTTTTTAAGGTTAAAATACGATGGGTCCAGTCTGTTCCAGTTGTATATTCTCCAACAAGTGGCTACGGTGACAGCTTGTCAGGTCTTTGTCCTGATACTTGATGAAATGCACCTCTCCCAGTTACCCTCCAGTTACCCTGGGAGTGCCTGGGTACAGCCTGAGCTCGCCCCAGACCTGCCAGCATGGGGCTGCAGGAGATCAGTGGCCAGGCATCAGTGCTGCAGTTGTGCTGTCCGGAAATTTATGAACAATTCATAAATGTGTTTTACAGACAGCTGTTAGTATGTTCTGAGCAATACTCATTCTGTCAAGGAAAACTAGTTACAGGGTTATAGCCAGGCCACTTAAATATTATGATCCATAATATATAAATAGTGGGCTGAGCGCTGCTGCTGCTTTGTGCTTTAAAGACAGGCCTGTGCATTCTGCCCGGGCTCTTGCAGTCCCATACCAATACTGTCTGCAAGCTATGTACTCGTAAAGACACTTGGTGCTTCTAAAAATCACCCCTTGCACCCTGACCTGGGGTCACGGCATGCTTACAGTTAAGCTGTGTGCCACCAGGCTGTCTGGCTGCAGGTGGAGGGGAAGGGGGGGCTGAAGATGTGCTGTGGCTCAGGCAGACCTGGGAGCTGTGCTGTGGGCTCAAACCTTGGGCTGTCGCTTGGGGTTTTACTTTCATTTGCCCAAAGACAAAGATATGGGGTGAGGCGTGCCTTTTCCCTGATGGGCCTTGCAGGTGGGTGAGCACAGCCACAGCACCTTGGTAGCAAAGCACAGAGCTGACAGAAGAATAGGGTGGAAGTTTCAGTTTAGAAATGTCTCTTGACATCGTGCTGTCTTTCAGCTGGTGTTGTGCACTTCCTCGGTGTTGTGGCCAGACCAAATCAAAATGGACAGAAGAAAGTGTCGGTGCAGCAGCAGTGGGGAAGTGGAAGCTCCTGCTCTGCTGGAGCAGCTCGGAGGAGCCGGGGCTGCAGGCCTGCAGAGCGCCCGCCTGGCTGCCCAGGAGCTCTGCTCACCACGTGCAGCCTGGCCTGCAGCAGTGATGTGCACCAAGGTATGTCAAACGGCCAAAACCAGGAGCTGCTCTAGTAAACTGTACTCCTCTGCAGGGAATACTACACAGCCTTCTTGAATAAGACTAAAAGATTAAACTCAAAGCACAATGAAATGCAAAAAATGCTGTGAAACCTGGTGGGTGGTCTTTTTTTATTACAGTGAGCTCCTGAAATATTCCTGCATTTCAGGATCATGTCACTACCTGAAATGCTTTGCGATCTCCTTATTAAAAAGCAACCCACATGCATCCCAGTAGAAGGCAGGTGTCTGCTGCAGAGCTTGCAAGTCTTCAAAAACCTGCCCTGGCTGGGTTGTTTCCTCTAGTTAAGAATTTGCTGTGATTTTAAGAAGTGGTGTTTCAGCTCTGTTGCTGTTGACCTTCAGCCAGGGCAATGCAGTGCCTAAGGCTCTCGCTGTCTCTGAGGATGAAGGTTTGGTAACTACCGGGGTTCCTGGCAAACCCTGCCTGGGAATCAGAGATAAAAGCCACCCAGAGCCCTCTCAGGACGCAGTCTGTGCTTGTGCACTTCCCTCACTCTACCTGTCAGTTGCTATTCTACAGGATGGACTCATGGCAGGGAGATGTGCATTGACAGCTACGCCTTTCCCAGTTGCAGAGGTGCCTAAATTAAAACCTCCACAGGAGATACGAGGACCTTCTATTTCCTTTCAGAATAATCAAAGTTTAAATGAGGAATATAGAAGGGAAGTAGCTGTCTGGAGACACTCTGGTGCACCAAGTTTAAAGGCAGCAGGCTAAACAAATCTGTGTGCCTAAAACCAGGTGGCAGCAGCTGAGCCTGGACCCGCAGCAGTTTCAGCATGCAACTGGCTTTTATCTGAAGGCAGGCACGGGGAGTGGGGTGGGGTGGTGCATGTGGCTGTATGAGCCCGCTGTGAACCAGTGCTGTCCCCAGCATTGGGACCTGAGGAATGATAGCAGTGGGCTGGCCTTGGCTCTGGTGTTTAGCCGGAAAGGTGATGATCTGAGGGAAGGGGGGTGGTCCAAGCTGCTGGAGTGGGGTAACAGAAGTAGAGCCCCTGTGCACTGCTAACAACCATGGCAAGTATGTGTGATAACTTGGAACAAGGTTCTGGAGGATGAGAAGGATGAGTGTGTGTACAGCCACAGCTCCACTGTGATAGCCAAGACTGGCTTAAATTCCTCCTGTTCAGGATCTCAAAAACAAGATGCTGGGGTGAACTGGACAGTATTTGTGACTGCAGGACTCATGGGAGAAGATGTGGCTGAATAAAAAAAAACACCTTGAAGAACTGTTAAAATATTCAGTGGATAACAATTCTAATACTTTTGAGTAACCACGGTGGTGGATTAACCAACTGCAGCATAGTTATTCACATACCCAATACGAAGTGTACAAGTACATGTATTTGCTGATTCAGAGCCTGTGCTTATGCTCTGTGAAAGAACACAATAGTGCCTTTCCCTCAGACTTAAAACTCTGCCAAGGCTTCAAGGTCTCTGTTAGCAGCTCCTGAGCCCTCACCCCAAGCTGTGCCAGCCACCCCCAGCTCCAGCAGGGAAGCTGATGCTGTGCTGCAGGGTGGTGCTCACTGGGGGCAGCTCCTTGCAGGGAAGGAGCAGCTGAACTGTGCTAGAAAGTGACTTGTATCTTGGAAAAAAAATGTTATTGCAGATCGTGCCATAGACACATTGGGATATATGTTTGCAGTGTATCTTAGAATATTTTGTGGATACTAAGCAGCAATTAGTCTTCCTTTGGAATCAATTCATTTCATACTGCTGTGGTAGCAGGGAGAATCTTATTGAAACTCGAGGATTTTTAATATTATTACACTAAAGACTCAGTATCAGCATCTCCGTGGGGGAGCATTAGCACACTGTAATGTGCAACAACTTCTCCACTTCAGGAAATCTTGTTGTATTTGTAATAGGGCATTTGGGGCATATATTATGTATGGGACATATTTCTCTTTTCCACCAGGCATCATCTTTCCTTCTGTCTAAATTACTCTCCAAATAAAGAGAAAGAGGAGAAAAAAAAAGGCATTGTATTCCTTATCTCTCTATATATGTATTTCAGTCTTTAGACCCAGAAGCCACTACCAGCAATCAGGGCTGCATGTGGTTGAAGCCAGAATGCCTTGGTTGAACAGTGATGGAACAGAGCTGTGGTTAAGAATAGGTGGCTATTACCTCTGTTCAGCAAGTGCAAACTTAACGTGCTTTACTAGAGGGAAATGGCAGATGGGACAGGAGCACCGTGTTTCCAGGACAAATGAAACTGGCTCTGTGCAGGCAGCAGGTAGTGTTTGTCTTTAACAGACCTGGGGGACCACCTTGCCTGGTGCCTGCCCCGAGGGAATGCTGAGTGATGTCTGAAAACTGCTTTTAGGAGGTCTTTTAACTTGATCAGGGACAAAACTGATCTGATTTCTGGAACAGGCTGTCCAGGGAGGTTGTGGAGATACTCAAAGCCCATCTGGATGCCTACCTGGGCCAATTGCTCTAGGGAACCTTCTTTGGCGGGGGGTTGGACCTGATGATATCTGGAGGCCCCTTCCAACCCCTACAATTCAGTGATCCTGTGAAAAACTGTCCAGGCTGTGCTTCACTGCCTCATTGTAAAGTTTTTCACCATACCTTTGCAGAACCTTTCTTACTGCAATTCATACCCACCATTTCATCTAGCCACAGAGGACATAACAGTTCATTGCCCTCCTCTTTAATGCACCTACAAATTAATGTTTTTTTCCCCTCTTTTACTTCGTCTTTCAGCCCATTTTTTTCATGTAACAACTTCAACTCTTTCAGTCTTGCATCAAAGGCTATTGATGTCAGTCCTTACATCCATCTTCCTGTTCTTCAGGTTATTTTTGATGATCTCCCTTGAAGTAAGGTGCTCAGAGCTGAACGCAGGATGGCTGCAGGATTACATGATTACAGCTGCAGGATACACTGCTGTTCCAGGTTATGCTATGATTTGCATCGTCTGCTAATTTAGCAACTGTGCTCTCATTTCATCACTGGAATGTGGTGATAATGTGCAGAACCAGAACGCTACAGAACCTCTGTTCAAGGTGTCTTCTGTGCTGTGAGTGGGCCTCTGATGGCTTCTGGTTGTCCAGCTGCCCTGTCAAACCCTTAACTCTCTGGACTGTGCCTGCTTAGTTTGATTTTTGGCCTTGGTGAGTGGTAGAATCAAATATATCACTGAAGCTAGGGGGGCTCCCAGAACTGCTTGTCCCCTAGCCACCACAAGCTGTCCTCTCAAGAAGAGAACGAGCTCAGTTGGGTGCAGTTTGCTCTTCCTTAGCCTACAACAGCTGCTGCTGCTCTCCAAGATGCAGCTTGGTTTAGGATGAGTTCAGGAGCTCCAGTTCTCCGCTTCTTTTTCCTCGGGTCATTGCCTGCCTTCCAGGAGCTCAGGGGCCCTGCCTCGCGGTTCGGTGACAGCGGCAGGAGCAGCTCCTCAGAGGTTTCCAGCGCAGCGTTGGCTTGGCAAAGTTTCGGGTTTTGCTTCCCGGTCCGTGCGGCGGGGGCACCGCTCGAGGGCCGGGCCCGGGGCTGCTCCCCGCGGGACCCCGTCCCCGTCCCCCCCCCGGGGCTTCCCGCCAGCCCCCGCCGTGGGTGTGGCGGCGGGCGCGGCCCCGGGCCGGGCGTTGCCTCCGGTGCCGGCCTCGCGTCGGGCGCTGCGTGGAGGCCGCGCCGGTGAGTGCGGGGCGGCTCCTCCGGGCCGGGGGCCGCCGGGGCCGGGGGGCGCGGGGGCGGGGGCCGGGGCCTGGGCGTGCGCGGCGGCGGCGGGGAGCGGGGCGCGGCCGAGCTGCGCCGTGCTGCGGCCCCGCCGCTCCGCAGCGCGGGCCGGGCCCCCGGCCCCCAGCCCCGCCGGGCGAGGCCCCGGCCGCCGCCGCTCCCCGCCCCGCGCCGCTCCGCCCGGCCGCGCAGGCCGCTCCCCCCCCCCCCGCCGCTCCTCCCGCCGGGCCGCCCCGCGCCGCCCTGCGCCGCCCCGCCGGGCGATGAGGAGCTGCTTCTGCCTGCGCCGGGGGAGCCGCGAGCCGCCGCCCGCCGCGCGGGCAACAGTTAAGTGTCCCCGGGGCCTCGGCGCGGCCGGGCCGGGGCTGCGGGACCGGGCCCGGCCCTGCCAGCGCCCGCGGGGCCCGGGGCGGCGCGGCGGCGGGGCCCGGCCATCCCCTCCCGTCCCCTCCCGGAGCTCCGCGCGTGGGGCCGGGCCCGCCGCGAAGCCCCCGGTGCCGCCGGGGCCGGGTGCCCGCCCCCGGGGGTCGCTCCCCGCGCGCGGGGCCGGCGGGCGCGGGGCGGTGGCGGCGGTGCCCTGAGCTGGGGGCGCCGCCTGCGGCAGGGCCGGGCCGCGGGGGGCTCCCGGGGCCTCTGGGGGCCGCAGCCTCGGCGGCCGGGGTCTGGCCGAGTCCTGGAGCCGTGGCCTAGCGAACAGCTCGCTGCGGGCGTCGTGTGGCTGGTTACAGAAATCCCCCCAGTGCCGCCTTTCTCTCGGTCTTTGCTGCAGGTGTTTGTGGCGTGGATGTGCTCGGTTGCTCTTTTTCCTCCCTCAGCCCTGCTCGGAGGTTTCTGCTCAGCTGGAGGTGACGAACACGCGCTGTGTGTCTGTGCTGAACGAGCCGGAAAGGGGACGCTGGGCTGCCCAAGTTTTGTTGGCTCACCTCTTACACTGCCGGTGCTTAGGAGTTTTCACTGGTTTCTGGAAGGGTTCTCAAAGACCCACAGAGCTTTAGTGTCTGCTCGGCCTTCCCTGAGTTGGGATGCTCGCGGACTGGTCGTTACAGCTCCAGCTGGGTCCTCAGCTGCAATGGGAGAGCTGGGCTTCAGGAGTTCAGCTGGTCACGTTAAAATTTACATTTCCCCATCCTGTTTTTATTTTAAACCCAGTGAGAGCGTGCAAACACAAAGCTTGGTGGAGCCTGTCGTGTCCCGTGGCAGGTTAGCGGTGTGGTTTGGTGTCGTTCCTGTAACTCTCTGCTTTGCCTATCGTATTGTCTCAGCGTACTGGGAAGAAGGCTTCGTTTGAGCTGCTGGAGGTGTGAAAATAAATACAAAATGTTCCAGTTCTGCAGTGCCCGCTTCTCTAAGTGAGTCCCAAGGTTTAAGGCGCTGTGGCTGCCGGGGACTTGTCCGCACGGGTACCAAGACAGAAATAAGCAAACTGAATGTCATTTAAATTTTGCTGCCCCGGTAGAAGGTCATCTGCATTTGGAAATCTATTTTGGTTTGAAATAGGACACTCCTCGCAAGTGACTGCCCATCTGCTGTGAAGCAATGCGAGCGCTGGGTTTCGCTCTCCCCTGTGCTGGGGTTCCTGTTTCCTCTGGGGTCGGTGACGAGCTGCGGCACTTCCCCAGCTGCGGGGGGAGGCTGGCGGGGGGTGGGGGTCGGTGTGGGGACAGTCCCAGACGCGCCTCTGTTTGGTGAGAGCTGACACCAAGGCTTTGGGGGTCCCAGCTGCATGTCCTGCCGCGGTCTCCTGGTTCCTGTTCTGGCTCAAACAGTTGTGCTTCGGGAGCAGAAATAGCAGCCCGGCAGGGGCTGTGTCCTGTTCCCGAGGGTTGGCAGCCCCCGTGGGGGGACCGGGTGTGCGGAGGGGAGCCCCAGGGTAACCTTGGTGCAGTCCGTGCTGTGCCGGCGGTACCTGCCTCCTTCACGAGATGAGGCAGCGATAACCCGAGCACGTGGATGAGTGTTTCGGCAGCATGTCTGCTCTGGTTTGATGGGAGTATTTCCTGCAGAGCGCAGGAACTTGGGTAGTTGATTTATTTTTTTCAGTTTTGCCTTAGCTCATGGTTTTCTGCTCTGTGGGAAGAGCCAGGTAGTGTCACAGTGCAGGGCTTGCAGCTGAAGGAAGAACCAGTAAGACCATTCCTTCTCCAAGTCTGTTTAACTTCAGGACTTGGCCTGCTTTGCTGCCAGCATGGAGTTTCTATGGCAGATACGTCCCCAGATCTGTTCACCTGCCACCAGCTCCTGAGCTTGCCTCACTTGTTGAAAAGAAACACCAAGAGGGGAGAGCGCTGCACAAACTCAAAATAACGCATTTGTCTCTAAAACTGTGTTCCTTTGTTACGCCTGTGTCCCAGCCAAAGCTCAGCAGTGCATGTGGTCAGGTCGCCATCCTGTAACGCTCTAAATGGACAGTGAAGCCAGTAGAAAAGTGTGCCTAGGATAAACTAATGAAATCAGAGATGAGCTAGCAAGAGTGAGAGATGCAGAAAGGATGGAAGCAGGTGATCCCAGGGTTGTGCTGCCTGCGCCCCCTCTGCTCTCCGCGCCGTGCCTGTTTGCCCTGCGGCTGGGTGGCAGGAGGGCCAGGCAGAAGGCCTGCTTCCCCTGCCTTGCCTGCGAGGCCTCTGCTCCGCGGGCTGGGGGCTTCCCGGCACCGAGACTCGTGGACACCCGGTCAGCTGCTCTGCGCGGAGCCTGCCCGGTGCCCGCTGCCTGCAGGGCGCCTGCTGCTGGGCTTGGAGCAGGAGCGCTGGCTTTGCTGGTGGGCTGGGCTGGTTTTGCTGGCATTTGTTCCAGGAAGGTCAGTTTCTGATACTCCTGCCTGCTGCTCTGGAGAGGGAGTCTGCCTGCGTTCTCGGGCCGCCACGAGGAAGATGAGGCTCTGCTGACCTGCAGCAGTCTGAAGCCCTGCGCAGAGCTTGCCGAGAGCGTGGGCGCTGTTCCCAGCTGGCCTGGCAGGGCACAGGGCCTGTACCCCTGTACCTGCCTCTCTGCCGGTCCATCTCCCACCATGCTGGCCAGCGCAGGGCTTCCCCAGTAGCTGCTGCGAGCCCCATCGTGCAGCTGGGATCGGGCTGCCCAGGACCCCCACACCTCCTGCCCCCTGTGCCACAGCCGGCTCGAGGCTGCCAGAGGTGTTCAGAGCAAAGCTGGCAGCGCTGCAGCCCAAAGCTGTGCATCCTCGTCCTGCTGGGCATCCCGCTCTGCCCCTGCGTGCGGGACCGGTGCTGGTGGGATGCGTGCAGCGGTGCGGGGCAGGGAGTCTCGGGGCAGGCACGGCCTCTCCCTGCAGGCTTCATCTGAGCAGGTCCTGGCGGGGCTGGCGGTACGTCCTGTCCCGGGGTCGTGCCCGGCATCCCCTCGGTGCTGGGAGCTGGATGTGGCCCTGCAGCTGAGAACCTCCAGGGAGCATGCTCCCAGCTGAGGGGAGGAATGCTCTTGTGATTGTTGTGGGCTGTTCCCAGAACAACCATGCGGCAGGAGGAGCAGCAGAGGCCCTCAGAGAGCTCGGCGAGCAGAGCTGAGCGTGGGATGTGACGGGCTGGTCCCTGGTCAGCTGCTTTGAGTTCCCAGCCACCACGGTGCTAGGCAGGCGTGTGGGTCAAACTTCTGTTGTTTAAAGAGAACTTCGTTAAAATAACAAGCTGTCTGATAGGAGTATTTATAGAATCCTTCTCGATTTAATTTGTTCTTTCACTGTTTGGTTTTTCTATTATTTTTAAGTTCAAAGGCATGCTAGAAAAGAAACCAAACTTGCAGCAAGCACCCCGAGGGAGAAGCGAGATGTAGCTGATGTCGGTGTGATTGCCCAGCCAGAAACTCCTCTTTGACCCGTGTAGAGCTCAGGATGACGTTGGTCTGGGTGCACAGACTGGTTGCTGCCGCTCCGTGTCTGTTCCAGATGCATCCTTGGTACCACCTGGGGACCCTCGGTGCCCGCTGCCCGTCCTGCGCCCCGGCAGGAAGCCCCACGCCTCCGTGCGCGGCCTCCGCTGTTTCCGCCGCGCAGGGGCTTTGTGTGAGCCCTGACAAAGTGCGGATTGATGCGGCTTCCTCTCCCCTCCCCCTGCCGTGCCGTGCCGTCCGGCCCGCGAGAGGCCCTGCGACAGAGGTGCCTTTCTTCCCTGGGCTGAGGGCAGCTCCGGGCTGGGCCGGGCGGGGTGGCCGAGCCCTCCCTGTCCTCAGTGCCCCGCGCAGCCCCCAGCCCTGAGGCCTGTTGCGTGCCGCTTCCGTGGTGCACTGGGGAGTGCCATCGCCTACCTGAACCGCGGCTCCGAGCGGTCCAACAGCAGCCGCTGTCAGCATCCGTCACCCCCCAGCTCCTGCTGTGTAACAGCAAGTCACCAAATTACCATGAGCGACTTGGGAAGACGTGCATTCGTATGAAGAACGCATCGCGAGTTCTTTATTAGAGTCACGTTAAGTTTGCTGAGTTCTGCTTGTTTTAGGCAGTTTCTGCGTCATCTGCGAGGTTTTTTGAGCAGCTCGTGGGCACAGTGCGGACGTGCAGCAGGGCTGGCTTTGTCTGAGCAGCACCCAGTGGCTTTGTTAGCTGCACAGCTGCACTTTGTTCCCTGCTGGCCCTGACAACGTGGAGGCTGCGGTGAGGGGAAGGGGGTGAGCAGGTAGGGGTCAGGGTGCCCTTCTGGTTGTGCTTTGGAAGCTTAAATTGTGTGGGCCTGCTTCAGCTGGCTGCCTGCGTGCTGGATGCTTACCAGGCGCTGAAGCAAAGCTCTGTCCTGATTTGGGTCGTTGGCAGTGGTATTTCCGTCATTTCGAGCACTTGTTTCCTTTGTTTTGGACGCTTCAGGCAGTCTGCTTGTTTGTGTGCCATTGTTATTTATACAGGGCCCAGACTTGCTCTTTTTTTGTCGCCTGCAGCACGATGTTTGTTCAGACTGGGCACTGTGAAGTGTAAAACCCAGGTCCTACTGGCACCAGCACTCACCTCTGCCTTTTCTAGGAGCAGTAAGTAACTGGCCATCTCCGTGGCCTCGAAGCGCTGGGTTTCATTGCTCTTAAGAGGGAACTGGAGAGGTAGCTGTGGTTCTCAGCTTGTCTGGCTGCTCACGGCGGTGCGCCTCCACACACGGTGCTGCCCTTCTGTCTGCAGGTGCATGGGGGCAGTGTCCTGGGGCAGTCCTTCCCGAGAGCCTGAGAGGTCTGGCTCTGGCTGCCGGCCTCTGCAGGAGACCACTTGCTGAGGCAGTGGCACCTTTCCTTCTCCTCCTCCTCAGTGAGCTATTTTGGCAGCTCTCTTGTCCTCTCCCCCTGCTTCCAGTAGCAGCATCTCTCCAAATGGGTTGGTTTCACCCGCTTCTCTCCCTCTTTGCGGCTCTTTCCCCTGAAGCATTCAGTGCTCTTCTCCCTTGTTCCTGGAGGATGCTCAGGCCTCTGTCTGCTTTGCATCAGACCGTCCTGTGTTGCTTCATGTGCTCCCCTGGCGCTCCGCTCCCTGCAGCAAGCAGAGATTTGCATATAGTGCCAGATACATCTGTGCTGCTACGTGAAGGCGGTCACATTCAGGAGGGTGCGGTGAGACTGATGCCTCGCCGGGGAGCCCTCGCTGTGCCCAGTGCCTGTGTTGGACGGGGAACCTCGTAACGAAGCCATTACCAGCAGATTTCTTGCTGCTTAAAATGGCAGAGCTGCTTCAACCAGCCTGACTGGGGGATGAAATTTGCTCTTTATCTGGGGGGGAAGGGATGAACTTGGGTTTTCCCATCGCTGGTAGATGGAGACCAGCCCATGCTAAATGTCCTGGAAACAGTGAAGTTAATCTCAGAAGAGGCTGCTTGCTCAAATTCCAGACCTGTTGGGCATTGCACAAACATACCTTCTTATCAAAAGCAAATGAAGGTGCAGAAGGTGTGTCTGGCCTAATCCTGTGTTTAACTTGGCAGTCTGTGGTGTTGCAGCACAAGCACTGTGGCATGCACGCACGCAGGCTCTCGGTGCTCTCTGTGCCGCTAAGGTGCGCTGCCCAGCAGCCCTTTAATGCTGTGCCTTTCTTTCAGGATCAGTCCATGATGCCTGAAGTGCGAGACCTCTCCGATGCGTTGCCTGACCTGCCGATGGATCCCATCACGGGCGTCAGTGTGGTTGCATCCCGGAACCGTGCACCGACAGGTTATGATGTAGTAAGTAGAGGTGTTTCAGCTGCTTTCGCTACTGCTTTGGTTCTGCATTAATGAGGCTTTGCTGGGAGCAGCATCTCTTCCACAGAGGGCTTGCCATCAGACGGGTTTGAAGAAGTAATTTGGTAACCAGCTGCCCACCTCTCAGCCCAAGGTACTTAGCAGTGCATTTGCTCAGTGGAGGTTTGTGGGTGCAGTCATGCCACTTCATCTGTGCTCCAAGAGGAGCGTAATTACCTGGAGGAGAGGTTTTCAGAAACAGCTGGCCACTGTGGCAAGTAAATTTACTGATCCTAGTAACATCCATCCTGAAGGATTCCTAAGTATCGCGCAAATTACATCTCTGAATAAATGGATCCCACATCAGCTGTTTAATCCCACACATCAGCACTGCGCGATAATGATGAGAAGCTCCAGATTGGGAAGCAAATAGCTTCACAACCAGCTGAAATTGCAAGGGCAATTTTGATGGACAGAATGCAAACCTCTAAATTAAGCGTTGGCAGGAGGCTGGGCAGCAGGAAAAGGCAGCTGGATACAGTAGAGATGAACATGGGAATGGGTGGATGGAGGACACAGCGTGACGACTGCTTGTTCCCTGGACTGGTTGCTGTATAGCCACCAACATGATTGTTTTTTTGCCTATAAAGTGAGTGTCCCAAACAGTGAAACATCATGAAATGCTGACCTTGCAGAGTACTGCTTGGGAAGACGTGGTCCCTTTTTGTGTATCCTCCAGCTGCTCTACATCACACCTTGGGTTTTCAGTGTCACACAGTTTGTGTAGCTGAGCGTGGAAACCCATGGACTGCGGCTTTGCTCACACATTTACAGCTCTGGGTCACGTACAATCGCTGGATCGCTGTGCAGGATGCCCTGTATGGTGTGAGAAGGAAGAAAGGGGATCAGGCTGAAATAAGGGGCGGTGTGTCTGTGTCTGTGTCTGTGTGTGTGTGTGTGAGAAAAGGCTCCTGAGAGACCTGGAGGGGTTTTTGCATTTACTGCATTTTTCTGAGTGCTGATTACCTGTGTGAGCCAGGCTGTGTAATTAGCTGCTTGCCCTGATAAAGGAGCATGGGACAATGTGAGAGTTGTGATAACAGAATTGCATTCTGCCTAAATGGCTGGGCAGAGAGCTGCTCACCCCAGATAGCCTGTCTGAGGTTTAATAGGGAACTTTAGCACTAGCACAGTTTAAACTAAACAAGATAAAAGATTCTTCCTGTGGCTTAATCCAATTACAGCGGTGTTGTAATAATGCTTGTGAATGTGGGTTGCTCTCTCCTGGGGGGCACAGAGCGGAGGCTGCCTTTCCTCTGATTTTTCTGTTTTGCTTTGCGTTTACAAGGAGCTCTTCTGACCCAGGGCCAATGGTCCCTGCTGTCGCCAGCGGTGGTGTCTGCTGGCTGCTGTTTCTTTACCTGATGCGTGGCTTCCACACGTTTCCTCCTTCAGCCGTGTGTGTGGCGAAGCCGCAGCGTGGCTCTGTGCCTGGGGCTGTGCTGGGCCGCCAGGAACTGCCTTTGGTATCCTTCCACTGCACAGCACCTGCTGTGGTGTGGCTGTGCCAGGGGTCACGACACGTCCTGGTGCCCAGCCCCTGGGGCAGGTGAACGCGGGGCTGTGCCCCTCTTGCCTGGATGTCTGGGCAGGGGCTCCTCTGCACGAGTCAGACGCACGTGGGGTGCGGGGGCACCACCTCCCCACGACCTCTCTGGAACCCAGCCTGGAGTATCTCAAGGCACAAAACCAAGCATGCAGAAGCGCTCTTCTGAATGCGGAGGTGAAGGCTGTAGCAGGTTCAGAGACGTGGCCATCGTGTGGACCGGAGCAGTACCAGGCTCGAGGTTTCTCCAGATCTTTTAATCGCTGAAGCACCAAGGACCGGATTTTGCCAACACACATGGAATGTGTCTGAATGTAGATTCCTGAAAATCTGCCCAAACTGGCAGGACTGAGCCCAGAGGTGGGGAGGAAAGGGAGGAGAGGTGGGCGGAGGGCTGGGGACAGGAGGGAGGAGTGGTTCCCGCGCTGCAGGCTCGAGGCCAGCTCGGCGCTGCGGGTTGCTCTGGGGCTGCGGTGCTGGGGCAGGGGTGGGGGCAGCCCCTGCCGGGGGGCAGGCAGTTCAGGGAGCCTGCTTGCCAGAAGAGCTGGCCCAGGGCTGCCAGTAGCAGCATGCCGGTGCAGGGCGCTGTGCGGCTGGAGGAGCTGGCTGGGAGACGCCTTCCATACCGCGTGCCGCTCCTCTGTGTCCGGCTGGTTGTGGTGTGCACTTGAGGAACGTCTTCAGCTCTGAGAACGACCTTCCCTTGTGCTTGGCAAGGCTCTGTGCCAGGCGGGCAGGCACCTGGCTGTTCAGCTCCACATTCCCTTTCCCTCTGCAGCCCGTCCCTGCCCCCTCTGCTCTCATTCTCTGTCCGTACCCCTCCTGGTCCTCTGGGCCCAGACAGCTCCTGACAGCAGGGCATGGGCTGTGACCTGGAAGAGCTTGTGGCTATGCTTCACACGTCTGCAGTGTGTGAACGCTGGGATTCCCGCCTGCTTTTGGTGGTCGTTGCAGACAAGGGGGTAGGAAGAAGTTTGGAGCAGCCACACTGGAGCCAGCCCAGATCTGGGAGTACCACCCCCACTGCTCCCTCAGTAAGGCCAGGGTGTTGGGCACCATCTCCACCATCCTGCACGTTCCTCACACCTTACCAAAGCAGGGAAGACGTGGGCTGGGGTTGCTCAGCACCCATCCTGCTGGGACAGGCCTGCTGCAGTCTCTCCACATCCTTCCTCTCTCGCGTTACCCCACCGTGGGCACGTTGCCCTCACGCAGCTCGGGCACGGTTCTGCTTCCAGGGGTGGTGGGGATCCTCCTTGCCTGCAGGAGCCTAGCAGATGATGTAAGATGTTTCCTGTTTATGTTACTCTGTTTTCTTTCCCTGTGAGTTTTCTGACAAGTTAATGCATGCTTACATTCTCCAGGCTTGGAAAGAGGCTTCAGCAGGATGGTGCGGAGCCACAGCGTTCAGATTAATTGCTGGGGATAGCGCCTGCAAGTGTTGCATTTCAGCAGCAGCAGGCATGGCTTTGCCTGGCGTGCCCGTGGGAGCTGGTGAGGTCTCAGCCCTGGCTGCTTTCTGTTTTATACCTGCATTGCCCTAAGCACCGTGCGGGAGGAGCGGCTCGGGGTGCGCACTGCGCGGCGCTGGTGGTGGGCAGCGGGTTGGCTGGGCAGGGAGGTGCCGGAGGAGCTCGGGCTCAGGCCCCAGCTCTGCAGGGATGCCCTCCCGGGGGGAGGCCGGAGCAGGGCTGCAGGGAGAGAGTCCCCAGCACCTTCCCAAAGAGGAGCGCTGTGCGCGGTGACTGGCTGGGAAGCTGACTTCAACCGCTTTGAGATTTGAGGCGTTAGAATTGCAGGGTAGTTGCCTATAAGGGTTTGTGATGTGGTTTTTATTTTTTTTCTGTTATTGCTTTTTGAGGATTTTTTCAGTGCTGAGTCAGGGCAGAACACTGCCAGGCTCCCTCCTCTGGGAAGGCAGAGGTGCCAGCTGGTACACGCCCGTGCTGGAGCCTTCCTGCCGTTCAGCTGGCAGAATCGGGTGTCTTTGGGGCAGCTAGCTGTAAAGGAGGTGGTGTCAACTGCGGTGTTACACTGCCATCTCAACAGTCACCTGTTGGTGTAAGTCATACAGAAGTCCTAAAACTTACAGGGCTTAAAATCCAAAGCTGAATTTGGCAGCAACCTGTGTAGCGCTGCTTTTACAGCTTCAGATTGGGTTTGTTGTTACCTGTTGAGTTTTGAGCATCTTTAATGTGGGAACAAAGAAAAAGCTACCTAACGGAGGAGAAAATGAACAGCAGAACTTGAACGATATTGTTAACAAAGTAATTAAATTTGGTTGTAGTCCCTCAAACTGTTTGGAATTCAAGCAGCGTGTCCCAGTATGTCAGTGGTTTTCTATTTAATCAGTCTGTTGTCTGAATGTTTTCATCAGGACTGACTGACTCTTAGGGGAGGGGGATGTGTGTGGATTTTAAGTGTTTCATTTTTGCTGCCCTTCTGCTGGTGTTTGCCTCGTCTCCACCGCGGGCACGGCGCCCGCTGGGGCAGGGCCCCTGGCAGCGCCCCGGCTGCCAACAGCGCCCGGCCCCGAGCACTGGTCGTGCCTCGGGCCTGTGCCGTGATTCAGCTGGGAGGTGGCGTCTTCTCCTGCCTTACTCCTTCTGTGCACACGTTTGTTTCTTCTGCAGAGATCCTGAGAGCAGCGGTTGCTGTTGGGACGACTGCGTGCAGGGTGGGAATGGCGAAGGCTGCTTGCAGGTGTTCGTTCTTTCACAGGGCACTGCTGCTGCTGAGGTGCACAAGTGCCCAGGGCTTTCCCCTGGGCTGCTAGAAGCAGCCGTCAGCCTGCAGGCCACGTTCCCTCTGTGAGGGGGGCACTGAGATGAGGCATTTTGCTGAGCTGGGTCTCGGGAGGTGGTGCTTGAAGCTGAGCGTGTGCAGCGTAAGTCTTTAAGCGGCTTGTTGGGAGCATTCATCGCGTGTTTCAGTGCTCAACACGTAACTCTCAGCTTTTGCAGTGATACCAAATTTTTGGTAGTTAACAGATTATTTTCCCTGGAGTTTACTTTCCTGGCCCTGCTTTGCCTGCTCATCGCTTTCTCCCCGTAAGGCATAACGGCGTTACGGGTGTTCTTAGCGGTGGGCCTGTCAGCGTCGTGAGCTCCTGAAGCCTCTCCTGAAGCTCAGAAGGCGGCCGAGCAGGGCGTGCTCCCATGTTAGCCTCGCTGCTGTGCTGGTGGCGAGAGCAAGCTGAGGCTGTGGCCTTTGGTTCTCCTGCCCTGTGCCCCCTGCCGGTGGGGGACCTGGCACGGTCCCACCCGGAGCCGGGTTGTGCTGGGACCCGGGGCTCGCTCTTGTTACCTCCTTTAGGGAGTCCTGGAAACGTCTGCACCCGCACAGAGAACGTGTGGAAGCTGTTGGCAGGTAAACTGGCGTCACGCTGGGAAGCAGCATCAGGCTGTTGTCTGGGTGAATTTCGTGGGGATCCTGCACTCAGATGTTTTCTGCTGATGAAGGCTTGCAAGCTTGCTTCCAGTTTGCCCTGGGGAGAAGCAGTGTCTGGGAGTGGGCCTGAAGGCAGTGAATGCAGTTAGGTCTGCCTTCAGTGGGGGTCTGGTGCTTGGGGAGCTGTGGGTCGGGGGAAGGCAGCAGATGCACCTCTTGTGCCATGAGAGCAGGGGCTGTGCCCTGTGCTGATGGGTCAGCTCCAGAGCTCTGCTGTGTGTGCAGGGCAAAGCCTTCATAAGAGGAAGGGAAATTGAGGCATGAAAGCGACATACCCGAGTTTTTCATCTTCCCGAGGGAGCGAAATGCAGGTGCTCCAGAGCAGCAGCCCCAGTCGGGCAGTGGGATGAGTGGCATAAGGGCTTGGAGTTGCCTCTCTGCTGTAGCTGTTGTAGTGTCACCACTCCTTTGAAGTGACTTTTTAATCCAGTTTAAATCGTGTGAAATCACAAGGAAAGGCTTAAAGACTTTTGTGGGAGTACTTCTTGTTCTGGCCTTTGTCAGGAGAAGTGGCTGTGGCTCCTGGTCAGCCCCGGGGCCATCGCTCTGCAGACGGCCGTGGGCTTTGTTGGGATGGAGCCCTCCTTGCAGCGTGCCCCTGCACCTGTGGCAGGTAACGAATGCCTCCATGTGCTGACTGTTGCTAACTGTTGTTTGGAGACTGCAGCCAAGTTGCTGTTTCCTCATTAGAACAGCTTTTGTCAGAGCATCTTTAATCAATGGACTCCCAAGCGGCAGCACTTCTAGAACTTTTTTTATACCTCCTCTTGGAAGTTCTTTGCACTGCACCTTGTGAAGAAATAATGAGATGCTGTGAGAGTTCAGGCTGCTGTTAATTAGAAGAGGTCTGAAGAAGTAGTCCTGCACATACATTAACTTTATCTTGGCTCACATGTCTCCTCTCTCCCTCTGTCTCTTCTTTCCAGGTTGCACAAACAGCAGATGGCTTGGATGCTGACCTCTGGAAAGATGGCTTATTTAAATCCAAGGTCACGCGATACCTGTGCTTCACAAGATCATTTTCAAAAGAAAATGTAAGTCCGTTTGCTGAGTGTCTGCATGATTTGTATCTGTGCCTGCTATGTTCTTACCCACAAGGTGATTCATTTTATTGAGCCAGTTATAATTCAAGCAGGCATTTAACTGTGTTTTGGTGACTAAGGAGGCAAGCTGCAATGGCCAGATATTTGTGTTTTGTTTATGTTCTTCATGGAAGGAAATCACTGGTGAAATCTGTAACAAAACCAGCAGAAGAGTGAGTGTTTACAGTTCAGCACCCCTCTTACTCTAGCAATGGGTGCTGCATGTTCCAAATCCTGTTAGATTTCTAGCTCTAATTACACAGAGAAATAAATGCTGCAGATAATGTTGACAAAGGAAGTGTTAGTTTCTGAGTCCAGGGGTATCACACCTGTCTTCCTGCAGGTTTACATTTTTCCTTATTTTTTGTGTTCATTCTTGAAAATTTGTCTACGTTGTGCTTACACCACCCTATATTTGCAGTCTTCTAGTATGGCTATTAAACAACTGCCAGTGATCAGAAATGAGCTTATGTCTGCCCACATCTCCTGTGGAAGGGGGGAGACCATGTGCAGCGAGAGCCTGACGCCTTCTGCTGTGTTCCTTTAATTTTTCAGTTGAGGGTAGTGTGAAGACTTCCTCTTTTCTGGAGGAGCTATTTAATTCTACAATGAATGCACTCCATCTAGTGGGTAATTCTGCTTTTCTTGGTATTCTGGATATTCACAGTGACGCAATTGTCAAGGGTATGGAGGTACCATTTCGTGCTTTTACCAACAATGGGAACGGAAAAGCGGCCGTGACTTTGGAGGCTGATCGCAGATCTTGCCAGGAAAAACAAGGGCCTGCCTATTTCCAGCATTTGCCCTTTATTCCTTCCACTTTCTCCAGATTAAAATGAAGCTCCAGAGCCATGGGAAATACTGCTTCCTCAGCTGGATGGACAGTACCTGGTTTTTTAGCCTTTAGTACCTGCAGCAGCAGGAATAATAGCACCAGGATAGGTAGGGAGGGTACTAAACAGAAAGATTTGTGATCATTTGGGTATTAAGTTTATCTGCGGCTACCTTAAATGCAAGGTTGTCAGAAATAATTATGGGATAGTAGCAACTACTGGCTACTGGAGACAGCGTAAATCCCCCCAGTCAGTGCCTGTTGGGCTTTGGCATGAATCATCTGCTCAGCATGGCACGGGAATATGTTCTTCGTATTTATGAGGAGTGAATTAAAGGGGGGGGATCGAGAGGGGGGTCTCAGCTGCACAGCAGACGCATGTGCAAGGAGCAGTGCAAGCGGCCGTGCCCCACGCAGGGGCTGTCTCGCTGCCTGTGCCAGGTGGGTGCTGCTGGGCTTCGGGCAGCAGCCGCAGGGCTGAGCTGCGGAGGGACCACGGGTGGCAGGGAGCTCCCTCTCTTCGGGCGGTGGGTTTCCTGAGGTTTGTCAGCCTGCTCACACCCGTGAGTGGGTTCTGTCCTGAGGACACTCCTCTATTCAAACTCAGCAGAAGGTGCAGCTCACGCTGCTCAAGGCTGTAGGTTTTGTGTGCTTGGGGCCTCTCTGTGAGGCAGAGATGCTGGGTAGATGGTGCAGCCAGCCTGCCAGCCCCCAAGGAGCACACATCTGACCAGCACTCCCGGTCCCCCACCTGCAGGAAGCTTGGAAATGCAGGTTGTGTGGCCTGGGAGGAGGGGGGGCAGATGAGCGGCTTTTTTTTTATCTGGTGCAGAGCAGCCCAGCAGAGCTTTCCATCTCCTCGGTCTGCCCCAGCCATGCAGGGCTGCGATGAGCTGCACCCAGCCTGGGGCCCCCAGGTAGCAGAGCACTGGCTCACCTGGACCTGCGGGCGTTGCTGCTCTTTGGGCTGCAGGCTTTACACATGGGGGTGTTTGTGTTGGTTTGTTTGTTTTGTTTTTTTTACAGAACGGTGGGAACTACTCGGCTAGAAGAACATGTTAGCAGAGTGATGCAGCATAGTTACCTGGTTTACAGTGGGGACAGCCTGCAGTGTCCCGCTATCAGAACAATCATTCTCAACAGCTTAAAATATTTGGCAAATTATAAGGATGTTTTGGGTATTTAAATGTCACATCTAGGAGACCTGGAATGGTGCATCTCACAGACAGAGGGATGGAGGCAGCCGGGGGCTGCCCAGCCTCGGGTGCTTGGTGTGAGCTGGGGACACAAGCCGTGTGTGTGCCGGTGGTCAGGGCTGCAGGCCTGGGGGCAAGGAGCTGACTGTGAAACGCAAAACCTCAAAATCAACTCCAGCCTGATCTCCCCTTAGTTCAAAGGCTACAAATTCAAATATGTTTTCAGATAGCTCAGAGTAATAACCAGAGAGTAGAGATACGCATGAAATAGTTTGTCTGCCAGACAAAAAATACCTATCAGGGAGGTACCTGGAAACAAGTAACAGTAAAACACTCTGGCAAGTGTGATGGCTTAGGATGAAATCTTAATTTTTCTGTGTTGCGTTTCTGTTTGTAAAGGCTGTGTAGTATCTGAAGTGTAGGGCTTTTTCTTCAACACGTGAATGCAGATTACTGGGAGCAATGTTGGCTTTAACGAGAACTGCAAAGAAAATCTGGTCTCTAAACAATCGTGGAGGCTGTCGTTCTGAATTGTATTTTTAGCTCTTCAAGCCTTGATTAACAGGGCAAGGCATCAGATCAGAATTCATATGGACTCTAAATGAAGCTCTTCCTTCCAAATGGCCTGCTCTTCTGGAGCACGCCTGAGCTTGGAGCTAGAACTGTGTCTGTTCAGCACTAATTAGCTAATGCATGTAATGACTCTGGCTGTGTCTGCAAGAATCCTCTTCCCGCAATGCTTTCTGCCATCGCTGTCGCAGAAGCGTCGAGCTCCTCTTGCAGCGAGCAGTGAAGTTACCTGTGTAGCGGGTGGGGTGCTGGAGCTGGTACCCTGAGCTGCCGTGCTTTCAAAAAGGAAGAGTTGGGTTCCTCTTCTGAGGATCCAGGAGTGCAGCTGTGGATGAGACGGCTGAATCTGTGAATGCCAAAAGCTGCCTGGTATTTCCTATTCAGTCTCTGTAGTTTCTGGGGAAGGACAGGTCCAGGTGTTGCCGTGGTATCTCCTCGCCTGTTTCTGTGGCCAGATGCCACAAGGCACCCTGGGGCTCAGAAGGGGATAAAAGCTGGGTTTGAACTGGATCACGTCTTAATCGCTGACTGTTTCTTTTCTCTCTTCAAAGAGCCATTTAGGCAACGTCTTGGTTGATATGAAGCTCATTGACATAAAGGACACTTTGCCTGTGGGCTTCATCCCCATCCAGGAGACCGTTGATACACGTAAGTTGGTGTCGGTTCCTGCAGCGCCGTGGGGTGGTGCAGGGCAGCGGGATGCTCCGAGTGCTGCTCCGGGGGGCATCTTCAGGTGTAGCTCTTCCTGTGCTCTCCAGGCTTGTTAATGCTGCTGCCTGGCTGCCACCAGCTCGCCTGCTCACACAGGAAGGAACAGTTTATTCTTCCTCTTCCCAAGGGCAAACTGGGCCTCACGGGAACAGAGCTGCTGTGAGGGGGGTGTTCACAGACAGGTACGAGAAGGAAAGTGGCTGCACGTGGGGCTGTGCTCATGCACACGTGACTTTCACCACCCGTTGCAAACAAACAGAAGCCCAGGTCTTGGCAGGCGGTGCTGAGGTTATGTTTGAGCTTGCTGAGAGAAGCCACAAGTGTGGCATCCAGGGGAAATACTGTCCTCGTTTCTGCAGGGCAGAAATGGCTTTCCTGCAGCATTTAAGCAAACTGCTCGTGAACGGGCCTTCCGATCCTCTGAGACTTGTGGCAGCAGCAGCTGGAGCCGTGTCTGGTCACAACAGCCCAGCCTGCAGCAGGCAGTGAGCGCTCTTGGCTCCTGGTGCGAAGCAGCCTGGGGCCAGCCCCGTGGGAGCTGTCTGGGAGGGCTGCGCAGCGCCGGGTGCTGCTGCTGAGTGCACGGTTACCACGCGGGAGCGTAGGTGGCTGGTACCAGTTCTTGCCAGTAAAGAAATCCAGGCTGGTTATGAACAGAAAGGAGGTGTGTGGGCCTGCTTTGCAGGGGGTAACTCATCCAGATCTGCAGCAGAGGAGGATCATTTTTCAGTCGCTACTGACCTGGTTCTGTTTGGAACCTGTAACCCAGAAGTGAAAGGCTCTGCAGCCCGTTACTGAGCCCACGGGTCTTCCCCTTTGCCTGGAGAATTCCTTAGCTCGTGTGGCGTGGGAGATTCACACCTGTGGGAGAACTGGACAGTTGTCAGCTGTTGGCGTAGCTTTTGTAGAAGTCCAGGTAGAGAGGTGAGAAGGGACTTTGTAATTAATTTAAAATGCATTGAATTGCAACCCGTACAATCTTTAAAGCAGTGGCACTGTCTGTATTAATGAAGTGGTGCATATCCCTGTCTCCGTTAGCATGACTGAGCACATTTTGATTGTCTGTATATAATATGTTTACTTAAAATTAACTGTGGTTAAGCATGAGTAATTAATGGATCTAGCTCTTAAACCAAATTTGCTACAGACTGCTGGCTCTATCCAAGTGTGAAAGAGACCAAAGACAAAAGCAAATAGTGTACTCAGCTTTATACATATTGTGAAAGTTGAGTAAGAGGCACTAATTTTGGTTAAAGCCAAATATTTTGGTTATACGTTTTTCTATGTTCTTCTCTAATGGTGCATGACTTGTAATAAATACATTAAAGATAGCATTCTTTGGTGGTTCTTGACAAAATTTTCAGATGCGGAAGCCTTAAGCCCTGGACTCCTTAGACCTGTTCTAGGTATGTCAGAAGCCCTGGCTTCCCAAAGCAGAAGGATTAGAGTTCAGGGATGTAGGTATGTAATATCTCTAAAAAGCGTCACTGTTAATCTGACGTGGCACGCACGGGTGCTGCACTGTGACACACCTCACACTGCCTGTGTGTTTGTTGGTGCTGGTCTGACAGCAGGCTTCAAAGGCCAGGATGAATTGCTTTCTCCAAGGTAAAGATTACGAAACAGCAGGAGCCTACAGAGCCAGGACTGCTTACCATCTGTTCAAGTGAGGGCATATTTTTAAACTGGAGAATACTGACTCATATTAAACCGGAGGGCTTTTATTCTTCTCCCAGTGCTTGTTTATACCTGTTGGTTGCTTTCAGACTTTCATGCAGTGTCTGCACTTTTGATTTTTCCACTTTATCAGTAAGAGCTTCTGTCGTGTCTTTCAGTTGTCTGCGTTCACAGATGGAAACCTCACCCTGCTCACGTTGAGAGTCCCACAGATTTTTAGGGTGAGGTGGAGCAAATCTGTGTCAGTGTGCCAGTACCACGTTGTTGTGCAACTGACCCATAACTGAATGTAGTTTGTACCTGCATGCAGACAGGTAGTAGGCTTATACATGAACTCATTGTACGGATAAGCCTTAATTGTGGGCTTTAGTTTTTTACAATGAATGGCACAGAAACAAGTGAAATTTCTCTGTGACACACAGCAAGAAGGCACCATGCAGGAGATTCATCTGCCCTTTGAGCTCAGGTCAGCACAGCCCAGTTACCCCGTTGGGGATCCCAGCAATTCTGCTTTTAAAACCTGGTTTTAACCCTGCAAAGACACCAGGGCAGATGTAGTGGAAGTATCACTTCAGTGCTTGCTGAGGGAGTCAGGAGAGGTTGTTAGCACTTAGCAGAAGTCATCTCTCCAAACCTCGCATCCTGTCAGCGCTCTGTGAGTGTTCTGCCTGCTTTGGCTGTTGGAAGCACTTCTCGGAACAAACTGTCCACTTGTGTCAGCAGCTTCCAGGTATGTTCCCAGAGGCAGTGCTTGTAGGAGAAATACTTAGGTATCCAGGCCAGTGAGTCAAACGCTGCTTTGGAAAGAGGAAGCAAATATGAGAAGCACATGGAAGTGGGAAAATCACCTGCCACTTCTGTTCCCTAGTGCAGTGTGCTGTGGCATGCGTGATGCCTTATCTTCTCTACAAAGGGAAGTGGGGGGTATTGGTTTATCACAGTGCCCAGTAACAATTCCTGCACAGTGTACAGAGAGCTCACAGAAAATTTCTTCAGTCGTTGAATGGCACTGCACTGTCTGGTTTTCTGACATATATGTCCTTTGGCTCTGGTTCCTGCTGTAATTATCTGCCAAATATCTGGAGAGACAATAAATAATATTTATACCCTTGTCTTGCATAAAAAAAAAGCTTCTGTTGTTTTTGTTTTGTTTTGTTTTTACAGAAGAAGTAGCTTTCAGAAAGAAGAGGCTGTGCATTAAATTCATCCCTCGAGATTCTACAGAGGCAGCAATCTGTGATATTCGAATCCTGAGTAGATCTAAGCAAGCCCCTCCTCAGTACACGTTCATAGGGTAGGTACCCCTCGCTCTAGAAGCTGCTTCCATATTTGTGATTGTGCCAAGCATCTTCTTTTCCTGTAATTGGGAAGTAGTCATTTATGAGATGAAGCTCATCATTGGAAATATTTAGGTAAATACAAATGTTACTGAGTTTGATGTGGGAAGTAACTAACCCTTTTTTCCATGATTAAGATAGTTCTTGCTATCCAAGGTGTCTGTGAAATTTATCTGTTTCCTAATTGTGTATGTGTGCAGCATGTGCTCACAGCATTAATGACTTTTGTGTCAACTACACAGGGAGTTGAACAGCATGGGCATTTGGTACCGGATGGGCAGAGTTCCCCGCAACCATGAGTCTTCACAACCTGCTGCTCCTGCCCCAGTACCGTCTTCAACACCAGCTCCTAACCTGCCGAGGTGAGTTTTCTGCTTTCGAGCATCTTCTGCTTGACGCAGCGTGGCATATTGTTGCAAAGCACCTGCATGGTGGACTCTAGACTAAAGGCACACCTAATAATAATTATTCAAATAATAATAATTAAAAGAACTAAATTAATAATTAAAATATTTTTATAAATAGATAAATAATTTATAAATTGATTTATAAATTTTATATTGATTAAATTAATTTATAAATTTGATTTTATTATTGATTAAATAGATTCATGAAATTATAAATTTTATTAATTTTATAATTAAGAATTTAATCAAAAATTAATAATTAAATTAAAATAATAATTATTCAAATTGTTCAGATAATTATGTAGTCTGATTTGATAGTGAGGGAATGAGTCATTCTTTCAAGTGTTTGCCTAATTGGAAGTTCCTGTGATTGTCATTGCACAAAGGCATACGATTAAAGAAGTCAGGGGGAAAAAAAAGCCTTCATAGGAACGGAAAGCAGTCAGAAAGCTACACCTTTTCTTTGTTTTGTACTGTGTAAAATTTTTGTAGCTTCCAAGCACACGTGGGTTACCCTGCAGAACAGGTGAGAACTGTGGTAGCCAAGCTGGCTTCCCACTCCTTGACCAAGGAAAGGGAGAACTGTTCATACAGTCCCTCATGCACAGGGAGACAAGTTTTGCTCGTTCTCCAAAATCAGTCCACTCATGGTTTGAAGTGCTGGCCCCCCCTTTTTTTTTTCTTAGACCACTATGCTCTAGTCTTGCAGTAGACACTGAATATGCAGAGCAGACTGCTCATTGTACCATGTCAGGAGTAGGTGATAAGTTGCATGCTGGCAAAGGGTAGGCAAGATCAGGGAAAGAGATGCCATGACTATTAGAGCGCAGATCTTCGTTTTCTGTCTGCAAGAAATTCCTGCTTGGGCATATTTCCAAAATAAAGAGAAAAATTATCATAGCAAGAGAATATCGATGGCAGTCCTTAATCACTAAGCGTGGAAGGGTCACTTTATGGCCAAGCAGGGAAGGCTGTAGAACAGCTTCAGAGCTATTGGGAACAGGGCCAAAATTAGAGCTCAGAGCATCAGCGACAGTCTGAAAAGAAGTGTTTACAAGGCTTATATATTTTATAACCTCTTGTTGTACAGTTTATGGTTTACAATGGCTGCAGGGAAATTGGATCAGTTTTGTTTTACTTGCCAAATAAAGCAAATGTCAAAATAGTCAATATAAAATGTATTCTAATTTGGCTGAGTTAAAACAGCCAGCATGCAGTGGAATAATTGAATGTTACATTAATGCCTCCTAGTAAAAACCACCTGTCTGTAGCCAGCTCCACTTTCGTGCCCGGTGCATGATTTACAGGTAACTTTTACACCACCCGCCTGATCTTTCAAAGCATCTTTCATGTCTGATTTTTACTCTGATTATTTATTATCCAATATATTTTTTAAGAAATAGAAATATATAAAAAGGTGCATCCTGCAAATATTTCATTATTACGGGAAACACATGCTACTTGAAAAGCCTTTTCTAATACTATATCAGCAATGCGATGTTACTCAAGTTTAATGTTTGTGGAAGATTGTAGTCACAAGTAACCTCTTATTTTTACATCACCATAGAGATAGGAGATTACAGTGGTCGCCAGTTTGCCGTTTTATTCTGTGTGGATATATTTTGACAGGAACTGCAGTGAGTAACTCTGCTACTGCAAGTGCTAAGACAAACCTGGTGAGCAGAGCAGAGCTCTGTGGAGATCCAGCTGTTAGGTTGGTCAGGTATTTAAGCTATTCAGTTGCTGGCTAGCATTATAAGCAGTTTTAAATTAAGATGGTGTGCTTGGGTGCTTCGGGATAATTGTCAACACTGGATATAAACTAAAGAAGTAAACCATACCAGAGAGCAGGGAAGAACTTCTCGCTGAGAAGCCTTATTTCTGTCAGCCACGTTCCCTCCGCTGACCCGCGGTACAAGCCGCTGATGGCAGTGGATGGCGGCACATCAGGGTTTTGTTGTGTGTCAGACGTTTGACCTCCCCAGCTCGCTGTGCGTCAGCAATGCTGCTTCCTCTGCTGTGTCGTGGGGTTATGGCTCGCAATCAGAACTGCACAAGGGGAAGCTTTGTTTGATATTCTTGCTGGACTGCATATGTTATTTTCCAGCCATTTCTTCTCCTTGGTGTTTAATACTACAGGCATCTGGCTTAATGGTCTCTAACTGCAGCCGTCACGCATCCCAGCGAGGGCTGCACACTGTACTGTGGAACACAACCGTGCCGTTGTGCAGGGCATCAAGCTGCTTTACTATTTTTTCTCTCCAAATTTTGCAATGGCTTCTTGGCACTAATGGCAGCCTGGAGAAACGCATTTTTAGTTTCCCATCCTAGAAGGCTGCTGCTAAAGAACTGCTTCTGTTGACTTGAGTCACCAGTGAGGATTTAGAGTAACTTCCCTCGGTGCGTCTGTGTTTGAGGCTTGCTCTCTCCAGTAAAAATTGGTGGTAGTGCTACACTGGGACATCACTTTGGGGAGCAAGTAGGTAAGCCCCCCCAAAAGAAGAGGTGCTAATAACAGGTTCTTCTGCATACCTTTATTTCATCTAGCCTATCACTGACTGCCAGTGCATGTGTTGGGGACCTGGAAAAATACACGTTGCAAGCATTTGAGCAGTGTTTTAGGGCTCAGCTCCTCACTGGCTCAAGCTCTGTCCGGGAATAAGCCAGAGGAGGGTTTTAATGACGTGTTCTCCTCTTCATCACAAGTCCGCTTTGAGCCTTTTGTGAGCAAGTCCTTCTCTTCAGCAAATGCATGTGGCACCAACCTCAAGCCACTTTGCTCCGCAGCTGCCTACGCGATGGCTCCTGTTGCAGTGCTGTGAGCCCATGCAGATTTTTGGTGTGTGGGTACAGCTCACATCCCTTCCCGTGGTGCTGCAGGAGCCTCTGCTGCCGTCATTCAAACGGTCCTCTCACAATTTGTCAGCTGCAAGCAAGATGTCAGTCAGTGCTGCTGAAGTGTGTTTTACAGTGACAGACATAATTGCACTTAACTTTTTGCATGGATGTTATCAATCTGTGACAGATACTTTGGGAAATTGAGCGCTCTGATTGCAGATGATGTGTCACAGGCGTTTAATCTTCCTCTCGGAGAGACCAGGATTTCAGTCACAACTTTTACTTGTTGATGTCAGGTTTTGAAAATGTAGATTCGCGCTGACCCTGGGAACTGTTCAGTCATTTAGTTTGCAGGGCTGTCATCTGAAAGGTTAATGGCGTACCAGGGAGAGAGGAGGAAGATCACGCTGCAATTGGCTTGTGTTCACGCCGTGTGTTACCGTGGCTGGGCTCGCGGCACTTGGTCCTCCTGCTCTTTGAAGATCCAACCGCTTCCACCGGCCTTCCTGGGATGCCCGTGGCACATCTCCACCCTGTTCTAATGGAAAACCCGAGTGGCGGTGAGGGCAGGCAGCCCCGCGTGCTGGATGCTCAGGGTGCCCCTGTCCGGCCATGCAGGCCTGCCCAGAGCCACCGCAGTGGAGACGAGCGGCGGCCGAGCTGGTGTGTGGTCGGCTCCGGCCGGAGAGCAGGAAGGCTGCGGCAGGGGTCAGGGTGCTGGGCAGTTCATGGGGCAGCTGGTGGAGGAAGCCCTGTGGCAGCGAGGTGCTGAGCTGCTGGTGCTGGCTGGGGTCCAGCTGGACAAGGCTCCGGTGCTCCTGTCCCATCCCTGCCTCTTCTCGGGTGCCCAGGGCATTCGCACAGAGAGGGGCTGGGCACTGGGCCCCAGCTTATGCCTGCTGTGCCTGCAATTCCTGCCTATCTGCACAGTTAACGAGCCACGGGAGCAGCTGAGTTGTGCTGCAGCTCCCACCCCTTGCAGCTCCCCCCCTCGGCTCTGTGCGGCACCGATCTGGCAGGAGCACGGACCTGGGGCTGTGCTGCAACCCGTGGGATTGGGAGGATAGCTACCCGGCATAACCCCCGAAATAAGAGCAGGGTGTGTAAATATTCCTACTGCTCTCCCACGTACCCCTTAAATAGTTAGCTACTTTGCCTAAGAACAGGGAAATGATTTGCTCCCGTTCCTTTGCTCCCAGTGGAGTTTAATGCAAGGAATGTCAGGATTTCCTTTCTGGGCAGAGAAGTCTGATTTTCAGATTGACTTGTTTGGACTTTGTCGTGTGAGCTTGGAACGTGATCAGTGTGTGGCTTCCTGCTGGGGGCTGACGATGTGCAGTAGGTGGCAGCTAATAAAGCAGCACCGGCCAGCACGCGTGTCCGAGGCCTGCGCTCGGGGTGACGAGGGGCCAGGCTTGCTCTGCACGGTGCGCTGACTGAAGGCAAGTGGGAAGCCCTGTACCTTCCTGGCTTTTAAGCAGCAATGATAGTATTTAGAAATAGCTCGTAGCTTTTTCTTTAAGGTGTTTCGAAGAGATTTCATGGAGAGTCTGTAGAGCAGAAGGTTCTGAGGCTTCACTTTCCTCCTCTGGTGAGGAGCAAAGCCAAGACTTCGTGAGGTTGTCGTGGACCGGAGACAGACACTGCTGGTAGCCTGATGGCTAGGATGCTTTAGCAGAGTGGTTGGTTTCCATTAAAGTCCCTCCTCTGAATGAGAGTCTATCAAATAAGGAGTCTGTTGGGGTGGATCTTTTTGGTTTGACTGGAAACCACTCTGAGAAACCTGCCAGTGAAAGCTCTGACAGCTTGATCCTTTCTACAAAGTACTTTGTTCGTGGTGGAGATTCATTTTCCAGTACATTTCATCAAAAGCGCTCTAAAGTTAAACTAATTTACAACTAATAAAATAGATTCCTTGACCATTCTTTGTGCCGGGGAGGCTTCGGTTGGAAACTCTGAGAAATTTCTTCTCAGAACAAGCAGTCAGGCACTGGAACAGGCTGCCCGGGGAGGTGGTGGCGTCACCGTCCTTGAGGAGAGGTTGGACATGGTGCTGAGGGACATGGTTTAGTGGGTGACATTTGGTGGTAGGGGTTGGACCAGATGATCCTTGGAGG